GAACCAGACCTATTGTATACCTTGCTCTGTGTTTGGCAAAGGAATACAATTTTGATCTAATAGTAGATCACTGGACAACGGTCAAGAATATCCTTAGTGAGGACCAAAGAAATACTTCTCGATTATGGAGGTGATAAAAGAGCCCGTCGTAAAAAGTTACATCGGTGCAAGCTTTTACACCGATCCAGATGACTCTAAGTCTCAATCTGGATACATATTGAAAGTAGGAGCAATTAGCTAGAGTAGCTCCATGCAGAGCATTGTAGACATAGAATATTTGCAAAATACATACGGCTCTAAATGTGACAGACCCGTAGACTAAACTTCTCTCACGAGCAAAACATGATCATACCTTAGTACTCTTTGGGTGTTAATCACATAGCGATGTGAACTAGATTATTGACTCTAGTAAACCCTTTGGGTGTTGATCACATGACGATGTGAACTATGGGTATTAATCACATACAGATGTGAATATTGGTGTTGAATCACATGCTGATGTGAACTAGATTATTGACTCTAGTGCAAGTGGGAGACTGAAGGAAATATGCCCTAGAGGCAATAATAAAGTTATTATTTATTTCCTTATATCATGATAAATGTTTATTATTCATGCTAGAATTGTATTAACCGGAAACATAATACATGTGTGAATACGTAGACAAACATAGTGTCACTAGTATGCCTCTACTTGACTAGCTCGTTTATCAAAGATGGTTATGTTTCCTAGCCATGGACAAAAGAGTTGTTATTTGATTAACGGGATCACATCATTTGGAGAATGATGTCATTGACATGACCCATTCCGTTAGCCTAGCACTTGATCGTTTAGTATATTGCTATTGCTTTCTTCGTGACTTATACATGTTCCTGTAACTATGAGATTATGCAACTCCCGTTTACCGGAGGAACACTTTGGGTGCTACCAAACGTCACAACGTAACTGGGTGATTATAAAGGAGTACTACAAGTGTCTCCAAAGGTACATGTTGGGTTGGCGTATTTTGAGATTAGGTTTTGTCACTCCGATTGTCGGAGAGGTATCTCTGGGCCCTCTCGGTAATGCACATCACTATAAGCCTTGCAAGCAATGTAGCTTATGAGTTAGTTGCGGAATGATGCATTACGTAACGAGTAAAGAGACTTGCCAGTAACGAGATTGAACTAGGTATTGGATACCGACGATCGAATCTCGGGCAAGTAACATACCGATGACAAAGGGAACAACGTATGTTGTTATGCGGTTTGACCGATAAAGATCTTCGCAGAATATGTAGGAGCCAATATGAGCATCCAGGTTCCGCTATTGGTTATTGACCGAGAATAGTTCTAGGTCATGTCTACATAGTTCTCGAACCCGTAGGGTCCGCACGCTTAACGTTACGATGACAGTTTTATTATGAGTTTATAATTTTTGATGTACCAAAGGTTGTTCGGAGTCCCGGATGTGATCACGGACATGACGAGGAGTCTCAAAATGGTCGAGACATAAAGATTGATATCTTGGAAGCCTATATTTGGATATCGGAATGGTTCCGGGTGAAATCGGGATTTTACCGGAACACCGGGGGGTTACCGGAACCCTCCCGGGGGTTAATGGGCCTTAGTGGGCCACGAGTGAGAAGAGGAGGGCCGGCCAGGGCACGCCGCGCGCCCCCTCCCCCTAGTCCGAATAGGACAAGGAAGGGGGGGCGCCCCCTTTCCTCTTTCCCCTCCCCCCTTTCCTTCTCCACCAAGGCAAGAGGGGGGAGTCCTACTCCCGATGGGAGTAGGACTCCTCCAGGCGCACCCCTAGGGGGCCGGCCGCACCTCCCCCCTCCCTCCTTTATATACGGGGGCAGGGGGTCACCCTAGGACACACAAGTTGATCTACGTGATCGTTCCTTAGCCGTGTGCGGTGCCCCCCTCCACCATATTCCACCTCGGTCATATCGTCGCGGAGTTTAGGCGAAGCCCTACGCTGGTAGAACATCATCATCGTCACCACGCCGTCGTGCTGACGGAACTCATCCCCGACACTTTGCTGGCTCGGAGTCCGGGGATCGTTATCGAGCTGAACGTGTGCTGAACTCGGAGGTGCCGTACGTTTGGTACTTGGATCGGTCGGATCGTGAAGACGTACGACTACATCAACCGCGTTGTCATAACGCTTCCGCTTACGGTCTACGAGGGTACGTGGACATTACTCTCCCCTCTCGTTGCTATGCATCACCATGATCTTGCGTGTGCGTAGGATTTTTTTTTGAAATTACTACGTTCCCCAACACAAGAGCCTCACCACAAGGTGGTGCCAGCGACGGGACGGTGCGGGCGATCGACGGTGGTTACGACGGAGATTTAGAAGGCACTAAGTAAACCACACCTACATATGCAAACTAAGTGTTATTTTTAACCTCAAATTGCATATAAATCAAATACTAGCAAATATAATTTCTCCCAAATTAATCACTATACAAAGCATTGCAAGAGCTAATCTAGCAATGAGAGTTGAAAGGACAAAGTTGCTAACCTTTGTGATCATTTGAATGGATGGGGGCCTTCAAATCTTGACAAATTTTGGGCAAAATTTGTGAGGAGCTCAAGGAAGAGAGGGGAAGAACAGAGGATGTGAGGGGAAAGGGGAAGAACAGAGTGGCTCGGCTGGACGAAGGGTTTATGTAGGTCGACCTTTAGTACCGGTTCGTGCCACGAACCGGTACTAAAGGTGCTGGAGGGGCCCCAGACTGACAACACCCTGCCACCACTCTCTTTAGTACCGGTTCGTGGCACGAACCGGTACTAAAGGTCCGCCACGAACCGGTACTAATGAGAACGGCCGGCTAGCCGTTGGAACCGGCACTATTGGACACATTAGTGTCGGCTCAAAATCAAACCGGCACTAATGTGTCTCATATTAGGTCCTTTTTCTACTAGTGGTTATTGATTCAGGTGATACATCTGGTAATGAAATTGTTGATGCACATGATGAACCCGTCGTTAATGATGAACATGTCACTCCCACTCCAAATCAGGCTATTATTCCACCCTGTTGGAATTCTTGCACGTGACAGAGTTAGGCTAATCCTGGAAAAGAGCATTGGGAAGCAGTTCAGTGGATTTTCATATACATGTGTGGTGCTTCTAATGCTTATTTACAGTTTGGGAAAACTGGAGATGGACTTGTTGGTTTTGTTGATTCTGATTTTCCTGGTGATTTGGATAAGAGAAGATCGCTCACAGGTTATGTTTTCACCATTGCTGGTTGTGCTGTGAGTTGGGGAGCAACTTTGCAGTCTATTATGGCTTGTTCCACTACTGATGCCGAGTATATGGCTATTTCTGAGGCATGCAAAGAAGCTATCTGGTTGAAAGATTTATATACTGAGCTTTGTGGAGATTCATCTTGCCCTATCGTATTTAGTGACAGTCAAAGTGCCATATATCTTACAAAGAATCCAATGTATCATGAGAGGACAAAGCACATTGATGTCAGATTTCACTATATTTGAGATGTTGTTGCTGAAGGTGATTTGAAGGTATGCAAGATAAGTACTCATGATAATCCTGCTGATATGATGACAAAGCCAGTTCCTACCAATAAGTTTGAGCTTTGCTCAGGCTTAGTTGGTATTTCTCACTAGTCCTATGGACTTTGATGCACAAGATGTTTATGCTGATTTGGATGGAGTTATCTACTTTCTTCGACTACTTGAGGGGATTTGAATCAAGGTGGAGATTGTATTGTGATCCAGATTCTAGTACCATGTTGGACTAGACGTAGTACAACCGGTGTGGGCCTTTGCATTGGCGTCGACGCCTACGAGTACAACTCGTTTACTTGTTCTCCAAGGACTCTCATGTATTGCCCTCATATATACCCCATGTAGTTGCACCTAAGACGGTCCGTCGTCTCGTGATTGTAATACTCCTCCTCATAGTGATTGCGCCTTCGTGCGTCTGTGGTTTTCTCCCGCAAGGGTTTCCACGTAAAAATCCGTGTCTCTTTGTCTCGTTTATTTCTCGTTATTATCTAACAGCAAGGGCTTCATTTTTGGTGAGCTACATTGAAGGTCCGCAAAGCTGCATATCAGCGATGGAGTCACGTCGATCTCTGGTGAGGAGGTGAAGCGTCATTCTTTTTTTTGATGGTTGTTGCGGTGATGCCGAAGGTAGGTGACGGGCATTGGTGTCAAGCTTAGAGACGCGTATTATTTCAGTTTTGCGGACCTCCAATGTGGCTCACCAAAAGTGTTTCATTGCTATTTTTTTTAATTTTACCATGTCGGTTCTTACTGCCTTGTATTTTGATCTTTATGATATGAACGAGACGTGTATTACCATTGAAAAAGAAAGACAATATTCTCGATATACTATGAGACAAGATTACTAGTTTTGGTGTAATAAAGCTGCAAAATTAACCTAAAAATGAAAGGTGGGCGATCGCACTGCGCAGGGAGCGCTTGCATGGGCCTGCGTGGCCAGTGTGGTGCACGTGCATATGCGCGTGAGCATGAGCGTGCCCCACCAAAAGTTCAGCCGAAAAAAGCCGATTTGAAACGCTTACCATAGATAAATATATATACTAACAGATACGATGCGGCGAACCAACCTGCGGTTGGATGGGTAGAGGGACCGTGGTATTCCCAGTCCATCAGGATTCATGTCCTGATGCTCGCATTTATTTCTGAATTTATTTCAGAATATATGGCGATGCGCATTCAGTGGGAGAGGACGTTCACGTCGATGACAAGGTGCCAATTTTAAGATGATATGCCGATTCAGTCTTTCGGAGGTACTCATAGGGATCGGGTGTGCATGTGTGCGTTTATGGGGATGAGTATGCGCGTGTATATGAGCACTTGCATTTGTACTTTGTTAAAAAAACAGATACTATGCGTCCCTTAAAAAATATGGATGCACGATAGCAGGCCTTCTTAGACTAGTATAAAAAGGCATGTGACACATTGCACAAATGGTAGCCAACATTCCGGCACATAACATAGAAGGAAGTCGAAGCCAACATGGAAAGTCCTACAATGAAGCTCATCTGCGACTTGCCGTCGGCAAACTCCATCCCGGACAACTACGTCTTGCCGCTGGAGAAACGCCCTTGCAACCAGGAGCTTGGAGACGACCTCTCGGTCACTCTTCCCGTGATTGACCTCCAAGAAACTCTCGGACATGGCCGCCAACAGATTATTGGCGAGATCATGGAGGCCGGCAAGGAGTTTGGCTTCTTCCAGGCACGTTAGCTCTATGCATATGCACGCACATATGCTTTGCTTCATTGCCATGCATGCAATGTAATCCGCGTTCCTGATGATGCATGCCGGCCGTGTAGGTGGTGAACCACGGTGTGGAGGAAGATGTCATCAAAGGCTTCCGGGAAGCAGCAACGGAGTTCTTCAGGATGCCGGAGGAGGCAAAACTCAAGTACTACTCCACCGACATGAGCAAGGCTTTCCGGGTCTTCTCAGGCTCTATCACGTCCCACACTGACACGAACGACATCCGCTACTGGCGCGACTGTCTCAAGATCCGGTGCTACCCGGTCGATAAGCTGATGCACCATTGGCCATCACAGCCAGAAATGTTTAGGTAATTAAGTACTAACTTAGAGTAAATAATGATTAAGCTGTGGCACCATTCGCCATCACAGCCTGAAATTGCTACTTTCAATTTCAATGCTGCAGGGAGCGCCTTGCCAAGTATGCGGTGGCAGTAAAGGAGCTTGGGCGAAGGCTCCTTGGGTTGATCGCCGAGGGGCTGGGCTTGGCTAATCATGAATTCTTCGAGGGGGGCCTCACCGGCGGGGATATGATGATGAACGTGAACTACTATCCGGCATGCCCGGACCCGAGCCTCACGCTGGGCATCCGGCCGCATTCTGACCGCTTCATACTAACCGTCTTGTCGCAGGGTGACGTCAGTGGTTTGCAGGCCAGCTACAAGGGACGCTGGATCCGTGTCCAACCCATACACAATGCCTTCGTCATCAACTTTGGGTTTCAGATGGAGGTGGCATTGCTTCAATCCTATAGATCCATGTGTAGCATGTTTCACCAAGAAGATCCGCAAAAAAAAAAAAGTTTCACTAAGAAGAACGTACTCCCTCCGTCCCACAATATCAGATGTTTTTGCAAGGAGGGACGGAGAGAGTATATTATAAAACAGTGCATGGTAACTAATGAACTGTCTATGTTTTTATGCAGATTGTGACCAACGGGGTGCTTAAAAGCGTGGAGCATCGGGTGCTGACTAACTCGGCGACTGGGAGGCTGACAGTGGCAACATTTACCAGGCCCAGTATGGACTGCATGATTGGCCCGGCACCGGGGGTGGTGAATGAAGGGACCAACTCTCCCAAGTACAGGACCTTCACAGGCGACGAGTTCACAGAGGCGTTTGAGGCCACTACTGGCCGAAGGGAGCCCCTGCTTGACTTCTTCAAGATCCGTCACACCCAGTAGTCGAGCAAGCGCCATCACACCTAGTCCACGTATCTTTCTACTCCCCTAAAACAAAACGTATCTTTCTACTCCCAACAATAAACGATTTCTAAATCGTGTATACTAGACTCATTTTTTTGCAAGAGAGTGTATACCAGACATGCGATGTCGCGGTTTTTGCTTTTCGATTTTGTTGCTACGTACTTTAATTTGTAGTCCATGTAAGAAGTAGCAAGGCAATTGCTACTACATGTACTCTCATACCAAATGCTTCTGAAATGTGCTTTTCTCCTTCCCCACAAGTCTCTCACACGTAGGTTTCCCCGCCTTCTGTTGGCGTCGTCGTTGCTCTACTTTGCCTTCAGTGGCCTTAGAGCCATGGAGGCATGATGGATCCCGGCCCTAGCCGATGATAGGGCTTCTCCTTCGTGTTTAGGTGTTTTTTTTCAGTATGTTTAGAGTTTATACCCGGCTTAGGAAGCCGGCTCCCTGAAAATGGTATAATTTTCTCCCCGCCTAGCTCCAGTCCCCGAGGGTGCGTATCGCATCGCTGAAGGGCGTGCGGAGGTGTGCTTACGACGGAACTCACGGGATTCGTATGGCTGCATCGGTCCACACTTCTTTCGTCGGTGTTCGTGTGTCTACGGATTTGATTCTTCTGATCTACATTTTTCTTCATCAGTGATGGTTGTTGTACTTGCGCACTAGTCCTTTGAGGCCTTAGCACGGTGACTTCCCGATTGTCTAATATAACAAGATTTGCCCGGCTTCTGTGAGGAAGGTCGATGACGCCGGTGTGCTTTCGGCTCACTCGAGTGCTTATGGTTGTCGCTGGATGGTCTACTGACATGGATGTATTTTTGTTACTTCAGATGTTCTTTGTACTGACATGATGTTTGATGAGTGGATCGAAAGTGTTCCTGCAAAAAATTCCTGAAGTCGGGCACTTTTTTCATGTGCCTATTGCTAGGCATTACGACATCCAATGTTCATTATCTTGGGCGCCCGTAAATCCGGCTTCCACCAAATACCGGTAATTTGAATATCCAAAACTATGGAATCATTCCTACTCTCCCTTGGAGAGCCGCATCATATATACTAGATCGGGATCGCGCCTTAGCGCGAGGGCGCCGGTGCAAACGTTTTGGTCAAGCAGGTAATGCTAAGTCAGCAGTAATTCAGGTTTAGCATATTCTATTAAACTATGATCACCGAAAATTTTCTTAATACAAATAGAATTTTAAGCTGGACCTTTCCATGATCGAACTTCCGTTTCTTTGTGCGTTCCTATTAGAAAATGCAATCTACATGAAAATACTTTTAAGCTGACTAAATATGATTTCATAAAAATAAATGGTTAGCGGGGAAGCTTCAAAATAGGCACTTCTCTGGCACATGTTCTGAATATTCTAGTTCTGATAAAGCCTTGCAAACCTGAACTTACGAAAATAATATCAGTTTGAAAACTCCAGAAATGTAAGTTGATTAAAACGAATGTCAGTTTAGCTCGATGCTACAAATTGTAGATTTCACAAAAAAAAACAAGCACAATAAGATGTCTAATGCAGGAAATCAGGGGCGGAGCTAGGGGGGACG